TAAAATCAGTCGAACACTTTTACAAGTATCTGTATGGAAGAAAATTCTTGCTAAGAACGGATCATGCTGCCCTAAAATGGCTTTTGCAATTCAAGAATCCTGAAGGACAGGTAGCAAGATGGATTGAGAGACTACAGGAGTTCGACTTTGACACAGAACATCGGGCTGGGACCATCCATAGAAATGCTGACGCCTTGTCAAGAAGACCGTGCCCGGAAGACTGTAAACATTGTCTCAGGGCCGAAGAAAAGGATGTGTTTGTTCTCAGGACTACAATCGTGGATGATCATTGGCAATCCGCTGAGGTTCAACAAGACCAGGAAAGGGATCAGGATTTGAAGCTTATCATCGATTGGAAGAAGAACGACCGTAAACCAACGTGGCAGGAAGTCGCCCAATATTCGCCGAATGTGAAATCGTTCTGGGCCCAATGGAATTCCATCATCTTAAGTGACGGGCTTCTAAAACGCGTTCTGGAGATGCCAGAAGGGGGGGAAGACCGGAAGCAGATAATAATCCCCAGAAACAGGATACCAGAAGTGCTGCAGGAAATCCATGATGGAACTACTGGAGGACATCTTGGGGTCACCAGGACGCTCGGAAGACTTAGGGAACGGTTTTATTGGGTCAACAGCCAACGAGATGTAAAGGAATGGTGCAAGAAGTGCGCCGTTTGCGCGGCAAGCAATGGACCCCAGAAGCGCCCAAAAGCCCCAATGCGACAGTACAATGTGGGCAGCCCATTTGAAAGAATTGCAATCGACGTGGCGGGTCCATTTCCGGAAACAGAATCTGGAAATAAATGCATCATCGTTGTAATGGACTACTTTAGCAAGTGGGCAGAAGCGTACGCCTTGCCAAACCAGGAAGCCGCCACAGTAGCCGATGCCCTTATTAAGGAGTGGATTTGTCGTTTTGGTGTCCCAATGGAAATGCATTCAGACCAAGGCAGGAACTTTGAATCTATATTGTTCCAGAATGTGTGTAAGATTCTTAACATTCGGAAGACGAGGACGACCGCATTACATCCGCAGTCTGATGGAATGGTGGAACGAATGAATCGAACGATAAACAGGTACCTTTCGAAGGTAGTCTCTGATCACCAAAGAGACTGGGACCGCTTCCTCCATCTGTTCCTGTTGGCGTACCGTTCTTCTATCCACGATACAACCGGCCAGACACCCGCTAGCATTGTTATGGGACGTGAACTTCGTCTACCTTGTGACCTGAGGTTTGGTTGCCTACCAGGGGAAGATATTGCTGGAGAAGATTACGTTAACAATTTGCGTAGAAAAATGAGCGACATTCACAGCCGAGTTCGTTTAAACATCCAGAGTGCCAGTGATAGAATGAAAGAGGCATATGACATCAAGGCGGAAAATGGAGGATTTCAACCTGGAGACCTAGTTTGGTTATACAACCCTCAGCGCCGTCGTGGTTATTCACCGAAGCTGCAGACTTCTTGGGAGGGACCATACGAAGTCATGGATCGAATAAATGACATCATCTACAGGATCAGGAAACAACCAAGAGGAAAGCCGAAAGTGATCCATTTCAACCGATTGGCCCCTTACGCTGGAAACAATGATCAAATAGACGATGCTAGAGTAAGGAGAGTTAATCCGCCGGAAGACGACTTGCCTTTTGAAGACTTCATGTATTTATATTCGAGCGGTAAAAAAGCTCTCTACGGTGTCACTAGAGAAGAGCAAAAAGATCTGTTCACAGTTTCGGCAGATTACTCATTGGCTCACTGTGTTGCGGAAGACCTTAGGATGTCCAGGGGAATAGCGGTTGTCTTTAAAAACAAATTTGGACGGGTCGACGAGCTACAAAGGCAGAGTCCCAAAGTTGGAGAGGTGCTTGAAATTGTGGATAATGAGCAGATAGGTAACCGAAGTATCTTCTATCTGGTAACGAAGCAACTCTCCAATCAGAAGCCAAACTACCGTGATGTATGGAATGCCTTAAATAAATTGAAGGATACCCTTTTGTCCAAGGACATCATGAACCTGGCGATACCAAAGATTGCTTGTGGACTTGACGGTTTGGACTGGAGAATAATTAGAAGTATGGTGGAAGTTATCTTCAGATTTAGTGGCATACACATTCTTGTCTGTTGCTACAACCCTAAAAGAACAACCGGAAGGAAGACCGTAGACTGTTACTTCTATAGGACGTCACAATGCAAGTTTGGATCTCTATGCAAATATCGCCACGGAGTGATGACTCATCGCCGGTGACTCAGCGCTCGAATAATCGAGAGTGTGGAGCTCGCTGGAATGTTCCAGAAGACCTTGGCGCTGAATATATAAGAAACGGAGCAGCACACGGCAGGCAGTTAAGATTTGGTACTCGCGGCGAAATAAATAAATATAAGTGCAAATAAATAGACTCTTGAACAATAGTGATATATAAATAATTAGTAGTTAAGTGTTTAGTTAGTTTTATAGTGTTTTAAGTGTAGTTAAGTTATAAAATAAATAGTTTAGTTCGTTATTAAACCAGTGCGTGTTTTTATTCACACTACGAACAGTTAAAAACGTTACAATATGACAGTGAAATGTATTTGTCGTCCCCTTTTTTTGACATATTAATATATATTTATTTAAAAATGTTAAATAAACAATTTGACCTCTAAACCATAAGTTGTATGACATTATTACATAAAAAGTAAAATTGGAAAATTTTGTGGGATAAGTCAGATTAGATTGAAGTTGAAGATAGTAAGGATTATTATACATAAAAATGTTAATTTAGAAATAAAAAATCGGTATACAAATTAATAAATATTATTTTTAACATTAAATAAAATATAAAAAAACAAAATATTTACTTAAAAAATAATTCTTCATAAAAGAAAAAACCAAAAAGTTCTTCATAAAAAAAACATTTTTCATTGTATTTAAGTTGGATAGAAGATTTTATGTAAAGCCGGATAATTTAGATACCTATAGCAAAAGTATTTTTGTTATCTAATATTGTTTTAATTTTTTACTTAGTATTTAATACTAATTACTTTCTCAACATTCTAAGCATATGTTTAGAGTGGATTAATTTTTACCACTAAACTTTGCACCTTCTAAGAACCTGCCTAGAGGCCAGTGAGAATATTCTTAGGATTATGCTATATTTCTTTTAAGCATGTTCTTTAGAAGAAATATAGGATGATCCTAAGAATATTCTCACTGGAAGGTTTAAAAAACATTCTTAGAACATGCCTAGAAGAAATATAGCATGATCCTAAGAATATTCTTACTGGAAGGTTTAAAAAACATTCTTAGAACATGACTAGAAGTAATATAGCATGATCCTAAGAATATTCTCACTGGAAGGTTTAAAAAACATTCTTAGAATAAACTGTGCTATCAGGACTTTGGGTATACCAATATCTCAGTTATTAGACATGGGACCCATACCAAATTTATATGAGTTTTTAATGACATTAAATAGACAAGTTCGGCGCAAACAGAATTTAAATTGAAGTTTGCGAAAAAAAGTTAGTTTTTCGTGTCGCCTCACCCGCGTCCTGGCCCTCCTATTTTAAAAATTTTTAATATTTATTTTATTTTTCCTATTCTGCCCTACTATGAAGAAAGGCAGTAACTGCAAAAAATGCAAAATGCGTTTTCTTGTGCTATGGTAAAGCTATGGACATTTTGTAACCGAATTTAACACAGAAATGCAGTCAAGTTAAAAAAATCAATTAAATACCTACTGCTTTTTATAAAAATGTAGTTATGCTAATTTTCCACAAATTTCTTGTTTAACAGTTACTGCCTTTCTCCATAGTAGGGCAGTTTTGTCCCATTCACCAAAATAATTTAAAAATTCATAAGGTCGACTAGATAATTTTTATACTTGGTAGCATCGTATAAGTATATTTGTGATACCTATAGGTATCACCAATCATAATGTTTTCTTCGAAAGAGTTATGGTACCATGGATAACAAAAAATGACAATCAAACATCGAAACATTAAAAACGGTCTTTAAAAATCTCCTTCTAGGTAATAATTGAATTAAAATTTAAGAGAAAACCAGAAAAACTGTAAAAATTATAGGGGTGGCTTTAGAGAACAGAATGTACACCAGTAAAAAGCACTGATATTGCACTTAATACAGTTATATATCCTGAATAAAAGAATATGAAATATAAAAAATTGATTTATTAAATTACTTGGTTTTTACTTTTTCTTTCTTAGTAAATATAAAACAAATTAACCTCTTAAGTATTAATAAGCATACAACAGTTAATATTAAGGTTACAGATATAACATCTAAAAGTAAAAATTCCACCCAGCCAATATCTACAGTAGGACTTCTAAGGTGTTTAGTACCATTGTGTCTAAGCGCATATTCAGTCCACCATAGCACTTTTTCCAAACCTTTTATTGGTTCATCGTTTAATAAACTATTCAATTCAAACACTTTTTTGCGGTACTTGTCATTATTGGCAACTTCCATTATTTTTCCCTTTAATTCTTCTTTGGTTACAGAAAGATAGTTTATTTCTAGACCGGCTCCATATCGCTCTAATCTCCTTACATTCATTTCTTGGTCTGCTATAAAAGGCACACCGATAATTGGTACGCCTGCGTTGAAGGATTCTTCCAAGGATTGAAGACCACCCTGCGTCATGAATACCTTAATGTTGGGATGAGCTAAAAACAAGTTATTTTTGGGTGAGGAATTTGTGGTAGGTCGACCTATTAATATTTTACCTAAAACAGCCTGCTGTGGCAACCATTTTTTAATTATAACATTTTTAGGCTTATTAGGCAAATCCTCAGATTCCCATTTCCATAAAATTGTATAAGGTAGCTCAGAAAACGTTTCTATAAGAATTTTACGCAATCTTTCTGGCATATTAATACTTTGCACATTTGAACCCAAGCTGAAGTATATAACACCATTTTTGGCATTGTCCAAAATACTTTGTAACTCCTAAAACAATCATTTATTTATCTTAGAAAAGTAGAAATGATTAAAAATATTTACCTGATTTAATGGCTGGACAGGCTTGAGATGTACCTGACTTATGGCTTGTATAATAGGAACATTAGGTCTTGGTTCATACAAAATAGGATTAGTAGTTAAAAATAGTATGCTTAAATCCTTCTGCAAGTCCTCTATGTCGGGTATATTACTACCTAAATACTTTCTAGCGATTTGATTACATCTTGGCATTGCTTTAAAGTATAAATATCCCCTAACCCACATGTTGTAGAAGCTACTATACCATCTTTCCGAAAATGTAAGCTTGCCGTGGTAGGGTAGAAACATTTCTGAATATAATGCTGGGTGGTTTGGGTTACCTATGGCGAAATGACTACCTATGTAGCCTCCCATGGAGGATACACCTATTACTGGAGCATTAAATCTAGCTCCTAAGGTGTGAAAGATGGGATTTATATGAATTTGGATTATGATTAGGTCAAACCTTTCGTTAGGGTTTTGATAGATTTTCTTGAAGCCGTCATCTTCGAAAATAGCTTCTGATAACTCGTAGTTCACATTAAATAAAGCTTCGATTTTGCTTGTAGTCGACCTTTCTTTGTTCATAAAAAATTGAAAATCATGGTTTAAAAATATTTTCGTTGTTCCACTCACATCTATTTCCGTAAGGTTGACCAAACTTTTGTCTCTCAATGGAAACGGCGACACCACTGTTACCTGGTGCCCTTTTAGTGATAATTCTTTCCAAATCGCTTGGAACACTGATTGTGTACTCGTGGTAGGCGTTTGAAAAATCCCGAGAATTCTTGCAGAGTCCGATATACTTAATACACTGAATATGGTGAACAATACTATTTTGGAACACATTGTGGTAAACTAAAAACAATGGAAATATAGTTTTTATATATCTATGGGTTAGCGATTTGCCTGCTGATTTTTTATTTAAAAGTAGTTACAAAAAGAAGGTGATCCTCAAAATTTCACCTCGATACGACAAAATCCGGCAGCTGTAGAATTTTTTAATTATATAATATATATTTAAAATTGTATAGCTTAGCTTTTATATAACTTGGGCATTTTTCTCTGCTAACCTTATATTAAAAAAAATAATAATAGATTTTCGTTCTAAACTTACATTTATCCGGCTTGTCTAGAAGCTATTAACTGAACCACTATTTCAGCGAATTTTGCATATTTTTAAAAGGCGTTTAGAAATACAGTTTTTTCTGTTGTTATCTTTATAGTATAGGAATACAACTTTAACAAACCTAAACAGCTAATGAATATAACCACATCACTTAAGAACCGAATACATTTTATTTCTTTTATACATAAAAATTGATTTTGTTTATGTTTACCAGATGATCGGTCATTTTCTTATCTTATTTGTTGGCTTTACATTGATTTTTCTTATTTTAAATAAACTATGTAAATTTAAACAATGTTATCATGAAGGGGTCGATTCAAGTTCATCCCCAGAACTTGCTGTCTTCTTGTCAGTTTAGTTTCTGGAGAAAATGTGTGTACAAGGTGTGTTCAGAAAATAACGGGAATTGTTAAATTTCGCGGGTTCGGAGGGTCCGGTTGTCATAAAATTTTCTTTATTATGTTGGTATACATGCCCCCGAAGTATGATAAAAACTTTAGCTGTTTTCATCGTTTACTTTGTCTGTGGCAGCCGCTAATGTTAGACGTGTTTTATGAGCTCGGCGATTTTCGTTCGTTAAAAAAAAATGGATCAAAAAAATTTGTATCCAATTTTGCTTAAAAATGAAATAAATTCTGTGAAATGTTAACAAAGGCCTATAGTAAGTCTGCTATAAGTAAAACAAGAGTTTACAAGTGGTATAAGAGTTTCCAAGATGGCCGTAAAGACGTTGAAGATGACGAACGCCCCCAACGCCCAAGCACATTAACAACCGATAAAAACATGGAAAAAGTGGAAGAAAAGGTTATACACCATCAATGATGATGTTGGTATATCGATAGGCTCATCTCATGAAATTTTTTCGAATGTTTTGGGTATGTAACGCGTGGCAGCAAAATTGTTAAATTTTGAACAAAATTTTTGTCCTAAAACAATACTGTAATGATGCCCCAGTCTCCATATTCGCCAGACATGCCTCTGTCTGACTTTTTCCTATTCCTAAAAATAAAAAGAACCTTAAAGGGCCGTCGTTTTGCAAGCATAGATGACATTAAAAGCGCATCGCTGAAAGAACTAAAGGCTATTCCAAAGATCGAGTTTTGGAAGTGTTTCGAGTATTGGAAGAAGAGCTGGCACATGTGCATAATATCCAATGGGGACTATTTTGAAGGCAACAACCTTAATGTAGACGAATAAATACATATTTTTTTCAAAAAACGAAAATTCCCGATATTTTCTGAACACACTTCGTATAATATAATATAATATAATAGATATACAGGGTGGGCCAATGGAATGTTTCCACCCCGGTTTGCTCAGGTATTACGTTAAAAAAGAAACAACGCTCGCACTTGTCGATTTTTAATTTTAGGGGGACAATAATAGTAAGTTATTTATTTTTATATTTTTTACCCCTAAGCGTGGATGATAGTTACCCACAAAATTTTTTGTGACGGGGGTCGAGTGATGCATTATTTTGAAGTTGTTGAAGTCGCTGCTATAGCAGAATATATATATGATGTGTCTTCCCTTTTCCCAAGTATCTCATTAGATTTTATTATTGCTGCAACAGCACCATAAAGTTATTTGTGCTGTGACAGCAGGCTTAAGACTTCATTAGAACCAAAAAGTAGAATCCTTTTATTGCCTTTAAAGCCTTTTTTTGCATCGGTAATAAAACCTAAAGGTTTTATTATAATTGGTTTGATGAGGTTGTCACAGCTTTCATAAATCCTCCTCTGACACCTCTATAAATCTTATGTCCTTAGACGAAAAGGTCGATAAAGCTAGTTAGCATGTAAGCAGTATTCTTTTTTAAACATTTTTGCCGTAGTATATACAATATTGCTTTGGTGAGTATAATAAAGCTGGTTAAAGTATTAGCATACTTTTTGAGAACCCTTATAACCAATATACTGCTATAAGGGTCTCTTAAGTAAATATGGTTTTATAAGGATATAAATGACATCCCATAATAAAGCAAAGTTAAAAATTAAAAGTGTAATAGGCGTTATGGTTTTAAAAGTCGTTTTTATTTGTGTCTAATAAAGCTTTTTATTAAAGTAATATGGTTATTAGAAATATTAACCCTTGTTTAGGAAAAAGCCAAGAGTCACATGTTTTACTTGGGTTAATATGGCAGCTTGTTAAAATCTTGAAAAATACTTCCTAATGTGGTTAGTTCCCCCTAAAATTTTAAATGATAATTATCTTAAGAGGGGTCGAGTGAATATTAACTAAATTCCGACACATTCTTCAAGATTTTAACAAGTTGTCATATTGACGGGGATAATAGCAGCGACTTCAAAATTGGAGGTTATAATCTGGGCGAGAAGAACTTTGAGTAGGGTTACCAGATTCTGTCAAAAAAAAATCGGGACATTTTGTATGAATTTATCTTAATTACAAAATTGACATAATGATACAATGCAAATTGTAAGTTTGACGTTACTTAATTATTGTTGATTGTGTCATTTTTGTAATTAAGGTTAATTCACACAAAATGTCCCGATTTTTTTTGACAGAATCTGGTAACCCTAACTTTGAGGGGTAACCACCACTAATGCTTAAGTGTTGAAAATATAAAAATAAATTATCCCCCTAAAATCAAAAGCGTTTTACTAAGACACACCTGAGAAAACCGGGGTGCAAACTTTTCATTAGCCCACTCTGTATTATACAGATTTTAGAGGAATGTATTATATATACACCGTGTATATATGAAGAGCTTGGAATAACGTGGAATAACTTTCTTACGTTAAAAAACGAAACAAGTAAAAATTAATAATTTATTTAATATTAAACATTTAGAAAAATTATACCAACTTTTTACATTTGGCACTATTTACAATACTTAAATATACACATATGTGTATATATATATATATATATATATATATATATATATATAACAATAAACTTAGATTATCAGGAAGAAATAAATTTAGTATTGTTTTTCTTTAGGTATAAACGATAATATGTTATACAGGAATTTTGCAAGCCTTAAGAAAATAAACATGGCCAAAGATAATACAAGAATGACGTCCAGGAATATAAATTCCCACCATTTCACGTCGGCTGTGGGGCTTTTCAAGTGGGGGGCTCCTTTGTGTCTGATGGCGTACTCGATCCACCATACCGCCCTTTCCAGACCTGTTTCAGGCTGATCTTCTAGCTCTATTTTGGCCTTGTGGATGTTTCTACGAAAACTAAAAAAAAATAATTCAGATTGTATAAATTATTGGCAACCACCAATTAGAATAATGACACTTGTTGAAAGAAGTCCCAAAGTTGCTCTAAATTAATAATTACAATTTAAAATAATAATAATAATGGATACTTCTGACTCAAAGTATTTACCTGGGATCTGTAGCGACTTTTATTATGGACGATTTGAGTTCTTCTTTGGTTACTGTTACTGGGTCATGAACTAATGCTACACCAGCCTGAGACAATTTGTTAAGGGTCATGGGTTGATCCCCAATAAATGGTAGGCCCACCATGGGTACCTCTCTGGAAATAGCTTCTTCAATCGATTGCAAACCCCCCTGGGTAACAAAGGCTTTTACATTGGGATGAGCTAAATATTATAACAATTATAAAATATTAAAACCAATTAATAACAAAATTTAAAGAATGGTTATGTGCACTAGGATGTTATTTTTTATTTGGGTATCATGTAAATTATTTGTTATATGCGGCCAAATCTGTATGGGTGCACGTTGTCTATGCGATATAAAGACGTCAGTATTCCAACTTTGAATTGTAAAGTTTGCTTTTTCTGATGTGTTATAAAGAAATATCATTTATTTGCGTACTATTTACCAAGAACTGTTTTAAAACGTTTTTTTTACGAAATTATGAAAATAAAACCATCCCCTTAGTAATTTTTGTGTGTGTCAGTTGCTAATAGCTTAAGGCTGGCGCATCCCTTTCAATATTAATGGGTCAGCGTCGTTTTACGAGGTGTGTTCAGAAAATATCGGGAATTTTCGTTTTTTGAAACAAATATTTATTTATTCGTCCACATTAATGTTGTCGCCTTCAAAATAGTCCCCATTGGATATTATGCACAGCGATTCGCTTTTAATGTCATCTATGCTTGCAAAACGACGGCCCTTTAAGGTTCTCTTTATTTTTGGGAATAGGAAAAAGTAGACAGAGGCATGTCTGGCGAATATGGAGGCTGGGGCATCATTACAGTATTGTTTTTGGCCAAAATTTAACAATTTTGGAACAAATTTTGCTGCCACGCGTTTCATACCCGAAACATTCGAAAAAATTTCATGGGATGAGCCAATCGATATACCAACATCATCAGCGACTTCTCTGATGGTTTATAACCATTTCTTCCACTTTTTCCATGTTTTTATCGGTTGTTAATGTGCGTTCGGGGCGTTTGTCATCTTCAACGTCTTCACAGCCATCTTGGAAACTCTTATACCACTTGTAAACTCTTGTTTTACTTATAGCAGACTCACTATAGGCCTTTGTTAACATTTCATAAAATTTGTTTCATTTTTTAAGCAAAATTGCATACAAATTCTTTGATCCATTTCTTTCGAACGAACGAAAATCGCCGAGCTCATAAAACACGTCTAACCTTAGCGGCTGCCGCAGACAAAGTAAACAATAAAAACAGCTAAAGTTTTTATCATACTTCGGGGGCATATATACCAACATAATAAAGAAAATTTTATGACAACCGGACCCTCCGATCCCGCGAAATTTAACAATTCCCGTTATTTTTTGAACACACCTCGTATATTTGATTTTTTTTGTAATTTTGACATTTCATCCTTAAGCATCATTTGTAGCAGATTATTATAAATAATTTTATACATTGTGTTTATCATATTCTACCACTGGTTTGTGCAAACAATGTTACAAGCTAGTATTTTTGTGTTTCTGGTAATTTACTATTTTTTGTTATGTACATATGTAATAAAAATGTTATAAACTCCATCTGTTTCCTCTCTAAACACTTAAGTGTTAAAATTTTAATTAAAATTTGCCCCTTACAAACTTCTGATTTTTATAACACTATAGTGTAGAAGATGTTATAATTCCATTTTAATAAACAGCCAACAATACACGAGCGTTATATTGTGCCTGGGAACATATGAATAGACCTTAACACTGACGTCATATGCCTATTTTATACCTCTGTATCAAAGTAACTTATGGCAATGATCATTGCAGTTTCTTATATAAAATGTAACGCTCTACAAAAAAGGTCTCTTATTATTTTTCAATAAATTGATTTCTTCTAGAGTTATTCAAAGTTAAAGTTTGGTAACATCAAATTTTCTGGTTTTTTGGTAGCAGACGGGTGGTGAAAGGGGGCAAAACAAGGCAGCGGGGGGGGGCAAAATGGGGTACCCAAAAAATGAGCATATGAAAAGTTTTCCAAAATTGTACCATCCTTTTTCTCGCCCTACAGGCTCAGAATAATTATTTTCGATTAAAAGCGTGAACTTGTGAGTCAATTTTCAAATAATTTAGAAACCGAAAAAAAAACAATTCATAAAATCTGACGTATGTGTCAAAATTTATAAATATTTTTTTAAAGAAAATTCCATTAATTTAAGGTAAAACTTATTTTTTATTGTTTTTTAAAAAATGTTTGTTAAAACATGTAAATAACACCATAAAATCGTAAACAAAAATCCAATATGGAGGCTAAAATTTAATCGCTGTTGAAATTTATTCGAAAATTCAAGGCTTTTGATTGGTTTATATTATAATGAGGGAAATAATCGTAAGTAATATCATAAGGGCATTTAATTTTTCCGAAAAGAATCGAAAAAACACGTTGCTAAGTAATATTTTAACAAAAAGCATGAGTGCTGGTGGCAACAAAAATCCGAGTCGAAGAGGAGGATTTTTGCACCTGCACGAATGCATTTTGTTAAAAAATATTACTTAGCATTGTGTTTTTTCGATTTTTTTCACAGGAAAAATTAGATGCCCGAATGGTATTTGACAAGACTATTTCATGAGTAACAGTTAACAATTAAAATATAAATTGCAATTTTTGGTGACAACAGCTGTCAAGTTTTGCCGCGGGTAAACTCGAATAAACTGCTGACAGGTGCTGTCACACAGTTTTTTCACCTAGAAACCATTTGTAATTCAAAATTGCGCGTTTGTGATTGGTGGAAATTAAGACGAGGGAAATAGTCTATGGAAAACCTATCTAATATCCACTTGTTAAGGATATCTTTTTAGAACATCTGTGATTAAATATCTACATTAAATAAAGCTCTTCAAAACTGATCTATTTCCCTAATAAAGTTATTATGTACAACATTTAGATTTTTTGATAAAAAACAATACATAAAGTAAAAGTAGTTTCAAACAATTAAAAAAAATAGTTTTCTTATCAGTTATTTGCCTATTATTTCACGCACTTAAAATTTTTGGCATTTTATATAATCTGATACAAACGCGTATTACACACAATATTATCTATAAGAAATACATGACGAGCCAAAAATGGGTCATGGTCATTAGTTTTTTATTAAATTGGATTACAAATTTCTAATTTTACTGATGTCTATCATACCTAAGAGGTCCTGTTGGGGGAACCATTTTCTAGTAATTACATTATTGGGCTTATTCTCCAAAGCATCGGCTTCCCATTTCCATAAAACGGTGTAAGGTAAATCGGCCATGGTTTCCAGAAATATTTTTTGCAAGTTTTTGTCTATATTAACACTTTTTACATTTGAACCAAGACTGAAGTATATAACACCGTTTTTAGCATTGTCCAACAATGTTTTTAGCTCCTAAAATATATTGTTGTTACACAATTTACACATTAAAAGAGTACTAAATTTTACAGTTGGTAGTGGTTTTGGTTTCCTAATATGCATTTGTCCCATCTGTATAATTTTAGGAACATGTGGTCTTATGGTGTGGATGATGTGGTTGGTATTAATTAGCAAAAAGCTGACATTATTCGCCAAATCTCCTAAGTAAGGAATATCATTTCCCAAATATTTCCTAGCGATTTCATCTGATTGTTTCATAACCCAGTTGTCGTAGTAAATGTTCAAAAAAATGGAGTTGTAAATACTGTAAATTTTCTGGAAGACGTTCAAGTTGGAGTGAACTGGGAGATTCATGTCGGGGTATAAAACAGGGTGGTTCGTATTTCCTACAGAACCATGGATGGGGATTACCACCTAAAATAAAGTAATAATAAAAATTTGTTAAGCAGAGCAAAGTTTTTCTTACTCCTAATGAAGAGATTCCTATTGATGGACAATCAAATCTTCCAGCCAAACTGTACATTCCAGGATGATGTGATTCAACCATGACTAAATCGAACTTTTCTTTGGAATTGTTATAAATTGCATTGAATTGTTTGTCTTTAAATATGGCGTCTTGTAGAACAAGTGATGTGTCGTAAAAGGCCTTCATTATTTGGGGTGTGGGTGAATCTAGATATAATAAAAATATATTGGACTCCTACATGTCAAAACGTTGTTTAAACATTTATTAACCTTTAGACATGCTGGACTGAAGATCATCGCCGGCACTGATTAAATTTTTTATGCTTCCAACATCAATTTCTGTCAAATTTACCAATTTTGGGTCGTTTAGCGGGTTTGGAGTTACAACTACAACATCATGTCCCCTAAAACGAGGTTTTAATAATACGAGGTGTGTTCAGAAAATAACGGGAATTGTTAAATTTCGCGGGTTCGGAGGGTCCGGTTGTCATAAAATTTTCTTTATTATGTTGGTACACATGCCCCCGAAGTATGATAAAAACTTTAGCTAATTTCATTGTTTACTTTGTCTGTGGCCGCCGCTTTATGAGCTCGGCGATTTTTCGTTCGTTAAAAGAAATGGATCAAAGAATTTGTATCCAATTTTGCTTAAAAAATGAAATAATTTCTGTGAAATGTTAACAAAGGCCTATAGTGAGTCTGCTATAAGACGTTGAAGATGAAGAACGCCCAGAACGCACAAGCACATTAACAACCGATAAAAACATATATAAAAAGTGGAAGAAATGGTTATAAACCATCAGAGAAGTCGCTGATGATGTTGGTATATCGATAGGCTCATCCCATGAAAATTTTTTAAACGTTTTGGGTATGAAACGCGTGGCAGCAAAATTTGTTCTAAAATTGTTTAATTTTGAACAACATTTTTGGCCAAAAACAATACTGTAATGATTCCCCAGCCTCTATATTCGCCAGACATGCCTCTGTCTGACTTTTTCCTATTCCCAAAAATAAAGAGAACCTTAAAGGGCCGTCTTTTTGCAAGCATAGATGACATTAAAAGCGCATCGCTGAAAGAACTAAAGGCTATCCCAAAGATCGAGTTTTAGAGCCGTCTTTTTGCAAGCATAGATGACATTAAAAGCGCATCGCTGAAAGAACTAAAGGCTATCCCAAAGATCGAGTTTTAGAAGTGTTTCGAGTATTGGAAGAAGAGCTTGCACATGTGCATATCCAATGGGGACTATTTTGAAGGCGACAACATTAATGTAGACGAATAAATAAATATTTCTTTCAAAAAACGAAAATTCCCGATATTTTCTGAACAAACCTCGTATACTAATATTTAACACCCATTTTATTTCTTAACTTTAACCCTGTCTGCAAAATTTTAGTTCTCCCACTTGTAGGCGAAAAAGAATTCGGCCACTGAAGTTAGCTTTAAGTTAAAATTGGAAAAAAATGAGGTTAAAGTTGATTGACAGGTGTCATATTTTAAATAAAATTTCATATAAAATTGGCTTTACGTTTATTTGTTGGTGTAGAATTAACTAATGATAACTTTCCTTAATATAATTTATATTTAAGTTTGAACATTTTTAAGAAATCTAATAAAAAATAATAGTTGTACTAACATAACCTTAAAATCAAACATTTTTATATATGAGTTCTCTAAAAAAAATACCGTCAATTGCATTTTAAAATAGTAAACGACAAAATATTTCTACGAATTCATGGCATCATAATATTATATTATACATACCTAATATAATACCAGTTTTTGGTCTCTTACCGTTGGGTGGTGACTTTCTCAATCAACGCTTTTAATAATTCATAATGCTATCTGCATTTTGGACTACTTATTTGTTTTATGAATTTTACTAAATTGGAATGTTTACAATTTTCACGTAAATCATTACTAAAATGTGTATTTATAGTATTTAAAAATTTTTGACATTTGACCTTTTTAAAAAATTCCCAAAACCTGTGAAATCCCCAGGATTTAAGATTTTTTAGTATTTTTTGCAAAAAATATTTTTTTTTTGATTTTTTGATTTTCCGGGATATAAAATTATGTATTTTTTTGGTATTTTTATTTTTTGATTTTTGCAAAAAATAATGTTTTTTTCCATTTTGAAGGATCTAAAAATTTGTATTGGTATTTTTATTTTTTTTTGGTTTTATGATCGGAAATTGTTCTCATTTTTGCATACAAAGATATATTTTCATTTCGTTGTCTTAGCAAAGAAAAAAATTACGCCCAACATTTTTTAACAAAGTATTCGATTATCTCCTGGGCTGTAAAAATAATTTAGACCAATCAGTTGAAGTTTTTTACATCCTAGTCTATAATTTATTATGCAAATACTACTGAAACAAATCAATTGAAATTCACAGAGTTTACTAATTTACTATGGAAATATTCTGTCGATAAACAAATTGTTATTTACAATAATAAATGCTTGTTTTTAAAATTTAATGTTCTCAATCGGTAAAAATATTTTTTTTTATTTTCTATTATGATGATAGTACTACCAGTTTACTATGGAAATATTCCGTCGATAAAAATATTGTTATTTATAAATAAATGCTTGTTTTTAAAATTTAATGTTTTCAATCGGTAAAAATATTTTTGTTGACTTTCTATTATGGTGATAGATAATTATTACAGAATATTAAAAATGGAGCTGAATGGATAATGAAAAAAATATTCGATGAAAAAATTAATATTAAGAACGCATTTCTTATTTTTTTACAGTATAAATACTAAAATATTTTTTAATTTAGGTAAAACACACTTTAGGTAAACACATCTTTCCTTCATGCACAAAAAGATGGTGTTTAGCACGTGGAAATAAGAAATTTTACTTTTAAATTAAGAACATTGCCAAATCAATTCTTTCATTTTTCTTTTTTTTTTGTGGATAAATTTTGTGTAATTTTTTCTAAAATTTACAAAAAATGTTTTTTCTTGCTTTATTTCGTCAGGGTTGCCACCGATATGTCTAAACCAAATTCCCTGACTTTTCCAGGAATTCCCTGACCTTCCCTGATTTTTTTTCCAGACAAAATGTGTTTTCTTTTTGGTTTCCTGACCCTCAATGATTTTTTCAACTGGACTTTAAAATTTTAAGTATGGGGCCATTTAAGTAAGCAGTAATTTTGTAATTTTAGTCCCCCCTTCCCTTTGTCAGCAAAAGTAAGTAAAGCTTATCATTAAAAATATACAAAAAAATCAAAGAAATCAAGCAAACACTCCCCCTTTGATGCTTATGTAATACTTGAATTTATTTTTCTCTTGGTGGAGAGTTATAACGATAAATTAAAAAACTAAACTTTTATTGAAGTTTATAAAATTCAAAAACATTAAAAAAAATCAATACTTCTAATTAATAATTCGGGATAATCTGAAAATAACAGAAATAATGAAATTTTTAAAAATGCCTCTGAAATTTTGTCTGCGGCAGGTCCTGTTTATCAAGTTGATGAGTTCTTATCAGTAAATATTTGATAGTACAAAAAAAAAGATTTTATTTCTTCTATCATTTTTTGCAATAGTTTTTATTGAAGAAATTTGATTTATTTTGGATATTTTCTAAAGCAATATTATTATTAATATTATTATCATGTAAAACTGTAACTTTTTCAAGCATACTCTCTAAAAAAGAATTAGTCAAAAATTACATATTTCATAGTAAAAAAGCATGCTTTTTCACTTTGAAATATGTCATTTTTGACTAATTTACTGCAGTCACTAATAACTGTAGTCCACAGCAATTTGTATCCAGGACCTTTAACAGCCAATTCTCATGTAAAATTGTCCCCTGAATCCTAAAAGACCGTCATACCAGTTTTTGAGATAGTCAATTCCATATTATATGGAAAATTTAATTAATCTTAAAAACTGTCCTACTTTTATAACTTTTGACGACATATTCGGATTCAGCAGACAATTTTACATAAGAATTGACTGCTAAATATCCGCGATACAAATTGCTGTTGACAAGAATTATTAGTGGCTTCTTTTTCGCTATGACAATTCATTTTTAGAGAGTAGTATTTTCCATCTGGTTCTTTTTTTTAAAGAAAATTTGACAAATTTGTGTTCTTCGTTGCCGAAATCCTTTTTTAATGACCCGCACTTTCATGTGGCCTATGACTGCTTGCAATTCAAACATTTGGCTTGAAACGGTTTTTTTTATCAACAGGAACTATGATTTTTCAGTCTTTTACTGATTATTTCCCTCATTATTATATGAACCAATCAAAAGCCTTGAATTTTCGAATAAATTTCGTTTAAATAAGAGATTAAATCACTATAACTATTTCAAAGCGATTAAATTTTAGCCTCCATATTGAATTTTTGTTTACGATTTTATGGTGTTATTAACAAGTTTTAACAAACATTTTTTAAAAAACAATAAAAAATAAGTTATCTAGTTTACGAAATATCAATTATTACTTATTACATACCTTAAATTAATGGAATTTTCTTTAAAAAAATATTTATAAATTTTGACACATACGTCAGATTTTATGAATTGTCAAATTCGAGAAATAATCTAGACGTATATCACTCAACCTATAAATTTAATCTGTCAAACTATGCTCAGTAAGTTTTTTATTTGATTTTTCTTTTTGAAAAATAGTTTCATGCAAAATAATTAAAAATAAAACCCCTCGACCGCTACGCGGTCTCGTGATTTTATTAAATTATTTTGCATTCAACATTTTCCAACAAAAACCAAACAAAAAACTACTGAGCCTAGTTTAAAGTGACCAGATTCTGTCAAAAAATAGAGGGACATTTTGTATGAAGTTACTTTAATTGCAAAATTGACACAATGATACAATGCAAATTGTAAATTTGACGTTACTTAATTATAGTTGATGGTGTCATTTTTGTAATAAAGGTTAATTGACACAAAAAATTCATAGTTCTCGTGATATAATATATGATTAATTAATTAATTTATTAATTATGCTTTTACTGTTTAATTAATTAGTTTATTAATTATGCTTACCATTTACAAAATAAAGAAATATTAATCACCCTAAACATAAAAATTGTTGGTTATAGTCTTAGAAGGTTATAGTGATAAATGGTGATATAGACTTCTAAGGTTATAGTGATAAGTTTGACATATAGCGCTGCCATATTGTGAATAAATTAAATTTAAATTACACTCGTTAACATAATTTTTTTTTTAATGAAAATTTTGTTGACCAGTTTTATTTATAAATAACCAATTCCTTGTTTGTAGATTTTTTTGCCATTTCCCTGACATTTCTAAAAAATTTAAATTCCCGGACATTTCCAGGTTTTTAAGATGAGTAGCAACCCTGTTTGTATTCTGCCTTTCCCAATACTCTTAAAAAATTAGGTAGCTTTATAAAAAAATGTTTTTTCTTGTTTTTATTTTGTATTCTGCCTTTCCCAATACTCTTAAAAAATGAATTAGCTTTAAAAAAATTAAAATATAAATATACAGTCTATTTTTATTCTTATGAATTAATAAAATAATAATAACGTTGCTTACCTTAACGAAAGTTCCCTCCAAATTTGTTGAAAAACAACCTGGTGACTTATTGAAGGGTACTGAAACACCCCCAATATTCTTGCACTGTGTACATAGCAGAAACTTAAAATTAAAATCAAGGTACAACGGAAATAACTTGTTTGTACAAACATTATTACTTGAACTAATATAACTAAACTAATGATCAGTTTGAAAAGGTTTCTTTAAATGGATCTCCAATCCCATTAATAAAACTAGTTTGATAACCTATACCAGACGGTTTTTGGTAGAGGTGGGCAGTTATTTTGCTGAAGCAGCTAACACTGTTACCCGGCTTTAAAAAAGCTGCCACCAACAACATAACCTAACTCCGTCGTTTGTGATCGCACTGATGGATATCGCTGTTTGGAATTCCTTTATATAAAAATTTTTGGGATCGCTCAGGAACTCGATTAGGTACTATAAGAGATATTGTAGTACTCTAGGAAGTTGTCGAATTGAAGCTACGCGCACACGAGTTTGTATTCTAAATGAATAGCGATCTTTTTCAATTTTTTAAAATTACAATTTTCCTAATAATAATTCCCTATGCGAGAATTCGGTCTAAAAAACTTAAAATAGTTTATATTGGAATACATTTTAGCATTAAAAATTAAAATTTGACATAAAAGCATACATTAAATCAAGTTATCTATTTCTTTATACAGGGTGAGTCATTTAACTTGCTGTAATAATAAAAAAATCAATTTTGTTCGATTTTTCTTCTTTTACGATTCTGCAATAATTTGTCTATAAAAATAACACTTTTTTGGTAATAATTATCTTATTAAATTAAATCTGATTTTTTAAGTACCCACGATTTTTAACTAATATTTAAGTTTCCTTTGGTTTAAGTTTCATACATTATTTCATTCGGTGATAATAATTATTATCAATTGCACTCAGAGAAATATCATGCCATGAAAAGCATATAAAATTATATTAATTTAAATAATCGGGTAAATTTGATTCAAATAGAAAAAATTGTAGATTTATATTCATTTACCAACAGTTTTACAATACTTTTAAATACTTTTAAAGTGTACGCTCTTTAAAATATATATACAAAAAGAAATCTATTTATTTTATTGCCTTTCTCAACGTTGTTTCAAAAAGATATGCATTATAAAATTGTTATACACCTATTAATTTAATGGGACACACCAATGACGCCAAAACATATTTGAATCCCTTTGAATTATTATCGTTTTGAATGATTCTACAACATTTTTTCTCTCAGTGTGCGCACCATGGTCACTTTTTACCTGCCAGCATTAAATCCTTTAATTTAAAGGATTATTGTACTATTTTTAATAAAAATACCTAATTTAAGGTTAAAAAACATTATTTTGTCAATTAATTAATTCAATCCTAAATGAGGTATAAAAAATGGTATTTAGTTATAAATAATAATTATTATTGAAGTATAAAGAAACTATTTATACATACTTTTGCATTATTTAATCAATTTAGTTCGAAGATTAATTTGCAAACAAAAAGTGTTAAGCAGTAATTCATAATGGATTTTTTAACAGTGGAAGAAAAAATAGAAATGATTTTGATTTATGGAGAAGCAGGCAGGAATCTTGATGATGCTGTTAAAATCTACGCTCAGCGTTTCCCGGAAAAAATTCGATCACGTACTTCATTTCACCGTACAGTCAAGCAGTTTACTACAAACGGGAGTGTTCAACCAAAAAAAGAGTTCGTCGAGCAACAGTCACAGGTGGAAATAATGAAATTAATGTATTAGCAGCAACGAAATAAATAAATAAATTTAAAAAATAAAATCAAGTATTTTATTCAAAAATTATTGGAGAATCGTATACAGAAGAAAAATCGAACAAAATTGATTTTTTTTTCATTTCAGCGCCATCTATTACAAGTATGAAAAAATGTTTTAGACAAAATCTACCTATTTTTAGTCGAATGAACCGAATCTGCAATAAAAATAGGGTATTCCATTGGAAATGTTAAAGTTACCCCCTGTTCTCCCTATAAGGAGGAAAGTATGAGGACCAATTTTAGTACTGATTGATTTCCCCCCTCGAATCATTTTATTTTTAATTTAAACATCTTTTTGTAAAATGCATATTTCCAAAGTTTCAAGTTAAATGACTCACTGTGTATATTTTTTATTTATCTTGTATTAGCCCATATAATTATTATACATATTTTTATGTGCACTATAAGTAATGTATTTATTATACATACATGTATAATATACATAACTATAGATAACTTATAAGTATAACATAAAATATCTTTATCTACTCCTATTGCATAATTTTGGTGTTTTTCCGTGAATATTGTTAAGCATTATAAATTTCCTGCCTAACAACGTGAATAATAAACTCATTATTCACGTTGTTAGGCAACAGTGATTGGCCGATTTTAGTATTCACTGTGATTTGAACCAATCGGGTTTTAAATTGGATGAAGGCGACTTTAATAACATTTAAAAATGGTAAAAAGTAAGGTTAACCATTTGACATATGTCAGATTTTATTTATTTAATTTTGAAAATCATTTAATTATCTACTTATTGGAGTAGATAAAGTATAGTATTACACTCGAGATTATGCGCAATATTCACTCGGATGATTTAGGTCTCTCGTCTAGCGACTCGAGACGTAAACCTCATCCTCGTGAATATTAGCCTGCATTATCTCTCGTATAATAATATACTATTTTAGGTCCCCGGTTTTGGTTTAGTCACTTAATTTTTCCTTTTTTAAAACCTTTATATCTCTGTGGAATTATATGACATAATAGCTATACTTACCTATAATGTTATAAAGGATTAATTTAAAATTTATAACATATGTCTAGTAATAATCTTAATAAAAAGTACTGTTTACTGTTAAATATATATAATTTATAAATATATATATATATATATATTATACAGGGTGTGCACATACTTAAAAATTAAAATTATCTAACGCAAAGAATAGGCGAGATAAGAATAAAAAACGATTGCCAATCCAATATACCAATATGCCAATATTATAATACCTAAAATATTTGGTCGACTGAAATCCACTTTATTGTGACACTTCTGTCAATTTTTGTTCCTTCATTATTTATCATTTTAAGTTATGTTTTCCTTCTCTAATTATGCCAAAATAAGGATTATTTTATGCTTTTCTGTAATATTTGTCTTTTTAAAAAGATAATTATTTACTCCTATTGCAAAATATTGTTTTTTTTTTCGTGAATAATAATAAACCATATAAATTATCTGGCTAACAACGGGAATAATCAACTCATTATTCAAATTGGGAGAAAGTGACTATAATAACATTTAAAATTGGTAAAAAGTGAGGTTAACCATTTGATGTCAGATCTTATTTATTTGTTTTTGGAAATCATTTAATTATCTACTTATTGGAGCAGATAAAGTATAGTATTACACTCAAGATTATGCGAAATATTCACAAAAATAGTCCTTGTAGTTCTCCTGCACTACCAAAGTACCAAATGTACCAAAAAGGTACAAGTGTACGACCGCTGGCAACACTGTACTAGCGAACACGAACAGCCGTTTTAAGATGAAACGCCTTGGTCCATTCCCACGAACACCCTTCCGGATAAACTGCTTCTTTTAAGCTGCTATTTGATACCTATCTACTTAAAAAAAAAGCCGTAACTGTTTTAACTGCTACTTTAAAATAGGGGTTTTGCCCATCTCTAGTTTTTGGTAAAGATAAACAATAATTGTTTATCTTATTGTGTAAGTGGTACCGGACCCAGTCTTTTATTTTTACGTCTAGGTCACTATATTCTATGGTACATATGTTTATCAATCGGCAACATTTTTAAAATAAATAATAAAAAAAATATTTATAAATAATATATAAAATAATTTATTTCGTATGTTTAGTTTTTTTGGGACAAATCCAAACCTAGACTTGTGCAGATTTTGTGAAATTTAAATATTTATTTAATTTTTATTGATATCTATTTATTTATTTAAAATAAATTAGGTGAGGATTATAGTGCACAAAAATTAGTTAAAATTTAAAAATAATTCAAATGTAATTTTTTAAAGTTCAGTAAAATGACACTTTTCTGCCAATGTACACCATGTTAAAGTTTTACTTTATCGTCATGAAAGTAAATTATTTTTAATAGTTATTTATGTATCAAGGCAGTAAAGTCGTATTTGCCATGTCGTATTTGTATTTGGCAAATAACCACTCAATAATTTCCACATTCGTGATAAAAAATGACTTTTTCTACTCCCACCTTTAAAACGCCCTTTATCGTACATGTTTCCATGACACTAAGTGACCTTTTAAATACACATTGACAAGTTGTGGCTTTATGGCGCTTTAGTCACGGGCTGAAGTTAGCAACAGGTTTTTAGTCACGGGTTGAAGTTAGTTTTAAGTTAGTTGACAGTTGTCAAATGTCATACAATCGATAAAATAAATTGACTTTCTTGTAAAATAATACTAAATGTGAAAATTATTTTATTATCTCAATACAAAAATACAAAAGTATTAAATGGTTTCTCAACGCCAATATTTGAAAAGTAAAGTGCTCATAAAACATTGTCTTTACTTTCACTGTGAAAAACTGTAAATTTTCAAGAAATACATTTCGATTTATAACCTTTATAATCTGTGTTTATGAAATAAAAAAAATTGACATTTGAGGGTAACACACAGATTCCCCTATTGTTTCATAGATGGCGCTCTATACAAATTTTTGATTTAAATCATTTTAAGATAATAATAAGTATTTGTCGTAGAAAAAGTATAATATGCACCTCGTTTATAAACTTTTCTATACATTCGTGTATAAAATGGCGTTTATCAAACTTGATACATAATATACTATTAGGTAATGCCTAGGTGCATATTAAATCACATTTAATAATACTAATAATTAATATTGATGATTAAATCAAATGTCATTTGAATGTAGGAAGTGTCTACGTATACTGTTAGTTGCGACGGTTATTATATATTCCTAAATAGGTATACATTTGCCCGCTGCACAGTGGTCCAAAAGCCCAAAAACATGGTCAAAATATGAAGGTTTAGTTATATGTTTACCAAAACAGAGACTTAAACATTTTTGGGGTCACTGATTACGAATTTGATATCCTTTTTTTCAAAAACAAAATGGCGGATCCAATATGGAGGACATTTTTTTTAACAAATATTCTGATATCGCTTACATTTGACAACGTGTGGTTTTTGAGGTCGCTAATTACGAATTTTATATTTATTTTTTGAAAAACAAACAAAAACAAACAAAAAAATGTTCTGATATCGCTCAAATTTAGCAACCTGTGTTTTATGAGGTAGCTGATAACAAATTTGTTATC